GTGACGAGTCGTTTCAGAGGTATCTCACTTTGCGCCAACACCTACATGAGAAGCACGGAGTGGAATCTTCTGACGACACCAAGCTATTGTGGTTTTCTGCAAGCAAGCCTAGAAGTGTGAGGTTGCAGAACAAACGATCCATGATGGCAAAGAGTATGCTGGCGCCACTTTTCCCGGATCTTGAGCTGGAGGTAGAGTGGAAGAAAGGTGTGATTTGGGCTGGCAAGTCCAGAATAGCTGCAGCCTTCCCGGTGGCACTCGCTGCTAAGCCTGGGAACAAAGTTGTGGCCCTATCTACTGATCCTGAGCAGGCTCAAGCGCTATACCATTTCAATGTTGGCCTGATTGCCAACATACGAGGCAAGACGGAACCCGAAGTTGAGGCGCATCTTTTCAAGATGCAGCAGAGCTGACACAGAGCCCAGCCGAGACCATGCAAACCCATTGTTGTACAGATATGCACTTGGAACATTAGGGGGCAGAGTGTGGGCAAAGCCAGCGACTGCGTGTTTCAAGATCATGCCCCGGAATTTATTTTGCTGCAAGAAGTGGGTGGCACGGGCGCTCTTGATTCTGTAAAGGAGGGCAACTCTCGTGATCATGTTCTGAGTCTTCCTAGTGATCTCAGGGAGCTGGTCATGGATGAGTCCTCAGATTTGCATGATTATCGAGTTTTTTCTGGCAACAACGAGGCCTACCTGGCACAGGTGATTGCTCTTGATAGGGAGGTTTGCGAGAGAGTCGTCTTCCACTACAAGGGCTTGAGGTTTATTGTGGTATGCTTCAAATGCGCTACAACCCAAAACTATCTCTTGGTCGTCTCAGCTCATTTTCCCCATACGGGGTATCCGGATGAGGTGTATTCGGATGCATGCCAAGATTTGTGTTCCTTTGTTACCAAGTATTCACAGTATGACACTATTCTGGGTGGGGATTGGAATTGCCAGCAGGGAGATCCGCGTTTCGACTTGCTGGCTGTTCCGCTTTCCATTCTTGGCTTTGGGAATATTCTTGCAGGCCAAGCTACACGTTTCGGCAAGGACTCGCAGAGGGAACTTGATTTCTTCTGGTGGAGGGCGGCGCCTGACTCTGCTCCATCAGAGGTCCTTTCAACAGTAATTTCAGACACTGCACAAGCTATCAATTCAGACCATGCCATGGTTTTGGCTGAGCTGTTCAACTCAAGAAATGCTCCTCGCAAGAAGAGACGCTCTAAAAACATTAGGTGCTTGCCCTATTCGGTTGATAAGCTCAAACTGCGAAGCCTGCTGGATGCAGATGATACTCAGTGCGGTGATCTGGGATTGCAGCAACAGTGGCGTAGAGTGAGGCAGCTTTCGGATGCGGTGTCGTCGCCGTTGCGTAGCAGGAAATTCAAAGACTCCAAATCTCTAAAAGAACTCTGCTCCCGACGACGCCTCGAACAAGATCCACAAGTTCGGCTATTGCTTACTAAGCTCATTTTGTCCCAGAGACAAGCAGAAAGGCAGTCCTGGTGCAATGAGATTTTGGATTTGGCTTCGCAGTGCCACTATGATTCCATTCGTCAAGCGCGGCGTCAGCATAATCAACATATTAGCTTAGACAGCGCACTGGAGAAGTATTCTACCGAAGATGCTTTCGTGCAAGATGTGCACTGCCATTTCCAGGCTAAGTTTGGTGCAGAGCACGGGGAGGATCCATGCTTGCCGTGGCAGCTGGAACTGCCGGAGGCGGCCCCATTCACTGAGTGCGAGGTTGCTGCTGCTGTGGGGCGTCTTAAGTATTACAAGGCTGCAGGGCCCTCTGGCATAAGCAATGAAATTCTCAAGGCTCTGGCGGAAACTTCCACGGGCCTCACGCTCCTCACCTCCGTTTTCAATCTCATGCTTTTGCACCAGCCCCTTCAAGAACAGAGGCTTGCGGAGTTGTGCTTGATTGCAAAAACCCAACATATTTCTGTGCCCAGTGATTACCGCCCTATTGCTCTAATGGAGACTTTCCACAAGACCTACATGAAGATGCTAATCCTCAGGGTTCAGAAAGGGTGGCAACCTGCGACCTCGCAACTCGGTGGACTCGCCAACTGTCAGCTTTTGGACTCGCTCTTGCTGGCTACAAATAGGCTGGAACGGGAATCACTTCAACAATCAGAGTCCTTTTGGTTGAGTGCTGACATACAGGGGGCTTTTGACAATGTGCAATGGGATGTGATGCATTCCTCACTTCTAAGAATGACGGACTCTCAATTTCATCCTGAACTCCTGCGGGTCTTCCACGAAATGCGACATCACCAGCTTTCAATGTCATGGGGTGGACGTACCAGTCGGTTCAAGCTCAACAAGGGGGTGCTTCAGGGTGGAGCCCATAGTTCTCAAATCTTCGCTATGACCATGGAAGCTTTGTTTGTTTTGTTGAAGGAAAGATGGTGTGAAGAATTTCCGGATGCCGTATCTGCTTGGTGCTATATCGATGACTGTATACTGCTGTTTCGCGATTTGTCCACCATGGAAAGGGCTGTGCCTTGGATTCTGCAACAATTCCAGCGATTTGGGTTTATTTGGAATCCTACAAAGACCAAAATCTGTGCGGCGCCTGCTCAGCGCGAGCTTTTCCAGCGGACACGTCACAATATGCATGACTTTCTTAAACAGTGCCAGGTTGTTTCCCAGTTCAAATATTTGGGGTGCATGCTTACGGTGCCGGCATCAATTTCCACTGAGGGTCCCCCGCTGAGTGACTTATTGCTTGAGCAGGCCAAGGCTAAAGCCATTGCGGGCATTGAAAACATTAGGTCTTTCCTACGAAGGTGCCACTACGTGCGCTGGCCCTTGGCTCTTCGATTGTTGCAAGTATTTGTGCTTTCCAAGTGGTTATGGTTTTCCCCTTGCGTACACCCCACTATGCAAAGACTGCAAGCCATCAAAACCTTTCAGTTGGGAATTCTGGCAAGCGCGCTGCAGCTCTATGTTCCCCTACACTGCGGCGATGCGCAGCGAAGGGGGTTGCACAGAATCAGGAGAAGAGCGTGTGCTGAAATGATTAGGTATTGGGCGCCTGGGCACTCGTGGGTTCGGTCATGGCTGTGGCGACGTTGGTCCTACTTGGGTCACGTTCTTCGTATGCCAGTGAGCCATCCTACACGTATGGAATTATTCTGTGACTTTAAACAGGTGCGCGATGGAAGAGCAATTACCACTGGAAGATGGCTGCTAAGCGTAATGCGAAACATTCTGAAGAATAATGCGTTGACCTTGTCTCAGATATCCAATCTTTACATGGACAAGGTGGAGTGGAACCATCTGTTCCCAAAGGTAGAGCAAATGTTCGCACTGCCAGATTCTGATGCCTTGCCTGCCTGTGCGGATGACACGTGGGGGCGGTGGGCGGAATGTTACAATGCTGCGGTTGCTTGGTTCCGTGCTGTTTTCTGCTGGAGAGAAGAGGGAAGGCTTCACTTCAAGTGGCTGGATGTCCAGGAAGGTTGGATGCAGTTATCGTTCGCTGACGATGATTTTACCAGCGCAGTTCTTTCTTGGCTTAGCTGGCTTCGGTTGCTGGGTAAAGTGCCCCCTTTTGTCGTGCAGCTTACTGTCGACACGGATACTGAACGATGGCAGGAATGTGTGCAACATCTTATGCGTTTCTACTTCGATTGCGTTTTCGTGATTGAGTCGGTTCCTGCTTCTCACGGGGACAGGGTTCGTCGATGCTGATGGGCAAGTGCGAGTAAGTGCCATGCAGGAGCGGTCTGTGTGCGCGGTGGTCAAAGAGCCACTGCCGATTTGAGTCGCTGTTTCCTGTAAGTGCAGTGGTCGCGGGCCGTTGCCTCTTTTGTGCTGGCTGTGATGCCACGACAGGCCTGACATTGACTGAGCGCCTGTGAGAGAGAGAGGGCTTCGAGTGTCAAACGTTTTTGGTTTAGGGTTTAGGGTTTAAACTGTTTAGGGTACAGAGTTTATAGGGTTTAGGGTCTCCACCCATAGGAGCTTCCCTTCATATCATGCTCCTAGTATGGCCCTTATATTCGCGTAGAGGATCTTTAGAAAGGGTCCCCAAACCCAAGGGTACAATCCTACAAGGAGGGGCCCCCTTACTATGGTAACTCTCGTTAAGGGTAAGCTAGGATCCTTATAGCCCAATTTAGGGTTCTGATAACTCTACTTTATAACTACAGGGGGCCCCCTGTAGTTATAAAGTAGAGTTCTAAGAACCCTAAATTGGGGTTATAAGGATCCTAACTTACCCTTAACTATAGTCCCCTCCTTGTACCGGCCCGCCCCTTGATCGCCCGTTTCTCAGCCCTGAATACTACCCATCCGGGCTCCCAAAGCACGGTTTAGGGTTTAGGGTTTAGGGTTTACGCCATGCCTCTTCTTTGGCTTCTTTTTCAACTCAACTGTAGGGCCGTTTTCAGCTCGGGGTTTAGGGTTTAGGGTTTAGGGTTTAGGGTTTAGGGTTTAGGGTTTAGGGTTTAGGGTTTTTTAAAACGATTTGGGGCTTCGGGCCTCGTAGACAAATCTTCGAAAGTGTCCCTCCGAAGCACCATCGAGGCGAAAGGTCCATCGTCACCATCAGGCGCTCGTTGCAAGAATATTGTTTTTTTGGGCGGGTTCATTTTTTTTAGGTTATAGGGTTCTTAAGGGAGGGGGTTGGGAGAAGAGTTTTTTTGCCTGGTTCTGAAGCAAATGGTTCAGGTTATAGGGTTCTTAAGGGAGGCGGGTTGGGAGCCTTGGGTTACATACCCCCCTTGAACCCCCTCCCTTAAGAACCCAAGATGCTGGCTTCTGCAACCCCTAGGCGCTCTTCTGGGTGTGGCTGTTGCTCCGAGGGTTTAGGGTTTAGGGTTTAGGGCCCTGGCATGAAGCAGCTTCCAGGTTCAAAAGGCTTTATATTGTAGGGTTTTTAGCGCCCCAAATTACTCGACGCCACTGCCACCGCTGAGATTGCAAGCTATTTTGGCTGAAAGTATTTCGTGGTTTGAGATCCAGTGGCCGGGCATATAGTCCAGCACCCAAAGGATGGGGAACACATGCTGTCCAGCCGTGGCCGGGCAGGAGTTGCGCATGGTCAGGCGCTTGGGGAGCAAGAAAGTGTCGGCAGGTGGCAAGACATTCTCCCCATATGGTATGGTGCCAGAGAAAACCGCACCTGTCAAGTGCTCTTCCTTCAGCAAAGCTGGCAGTGAGGGAGGTCCTGGTGAAAAAGTAGATTTGCGCCAGTACATGACGGCGATTGAGGACCAATCGCAGAGCAACAGTTGCTGCGCCAACGCCATTGCTGGTGCATATGAATACCTCAACAAGCGCGATGCAATGAAGCATGGCGATACAATCGCTGACATCTCCCGCTTGTTCATCTACTATGTTGGCCGGAAGAAGGACCAGCAAGAGTTTGGCGAGAACACCAAAGTAGCACCATCAGATGAGGGCATGACGATTGGAGGCGCCATCACTGCCTTGCAGGTCAAAGGAGCATGCATGGCAGCGGACTGGCCGTTCGACTTGGAAAGGGTCAACGACACGCCCGACCTAGCTTGTTTCGACAAGGCAATGAGGTACAAAATCTCCAACGCCACTCAAGTTCCTTAGTAGTAGAGTAGGTAACCTTTAACCTTTTTGGGTTAATATATTCCCCTTAAAATCCCAAAGGTTAACCTTTGAAACCCCTAGGTACTGGACAACTAAGGTTCCATGTGACCTCGATTGCATGAGGGAGGCATTGGCCTTGGGGAGCCCCATTGTTTTTGGCCTGAAGCTCACCGCCCAATTCTTCTGCCCTCTGCCGGGTGGGCTGATTCCCACGCCGGATCCGAGTGACCCGCAGTCGGCGGAACATGGCCTTCACGCAATGCTCCTCGTGGCTTGGTAGCCCGGAGGTGCCCTTTACCCTTTTTTTGTTGGTTCTGGGTTCCCTTATAAAATACCCAACCCCAAAAAAGCGTGCCGTTGTTATGGTTTGGTTACTGGGCTACTAAGGTGGGCTACAATGATCGACAGCAGGTCTTCATCGTACGAAACAGCTGGGGAGAGTCATGGGCCGACCGTGGCTACGCCTACGTGCCCTACGACTACATCGCCAACCCCGAGTTCAACTTCCTCGGGATGTACACCATTACAGGATTGACGGAAACCGACTTCACGCCGGATGCCGATGACGGCCAGGACTTCTCATACGACAGCCGGGGCGATGGGAACGCAGCTGACATCACCGACTACGAGGAGCCAGTGCCCCCGAGCAATAAGGATCTTGGTAGCCCAGTGGTACCCTTTTTCTTCTTTTTTTGGGGGTTCAAGGCTCCCTATAAAGTACGTAACCAACCCAGAAAGGGTGCCCTTATTTAAAAAGGGTGCCCTTGTTGTGGTATGGTTGCTGGGCTGCTAAGGATGATAGCTTTGATGCTGACGACGCGCTGGACTTGGATTGCGAAGCCCGGCGCGTTTTCAACAAGTTTGACCTGAACGGGAGCGGCACCTTGGACTTTCAGGAGTTGCATCTGGCCCTCATGATGAATGGGAAATTCATGACCCCCTTCGATCCTAGACAGGCCTTTGGGATATTTTATACTTTCCCTTCTAGGGTTTAAGTAGATCTTATTTAGGATATTTTATACTTTCCCTTATAGGGTTCAAGCAGATCTTACTTAGGAATATCTTCAGAGGGGTTTAAGGTATACTTTCCCTTATAGGGTTTGAGTAGATCTTACTTAGGAATATGTTCAGAGGGTTTTAAGGGCCCTCCTAGGATCTTCAGAAGCTCATCGCCGATGCGGATCGGGATGGGAAGCCTGGCCTCAGCTTCGAAGAGTTTCTGAGCCTTTGCAAGTAGGGTTTAGGGTTTAGGGTTAAGGGTTTAGGGTTTAGGGTTTAGGGTTTAGGGTTTAGGGCTTAGGGTTTAGGGTTTAGGGTTTAGGGAGAAGCGCCTGATGCAGACGTCCTCCCCTTAATTGGGCGGGCCAGCATTGCACACAACAAAGAATGCAAGCCCGCACGCGCACCACTTGAGCCAGCAAAGGTTGGCCGCACGTTTCTGGAGCCTCTCCGTTACTTCAGTGCTAGCACACATGCCTATCGTGCATGGCATAGCCGTTTTGAGGGGCAACATCGACTTGCAAAAGACCGAGTCAAAAGGCACGGATGCGCGCCGTGTCGTTACTTGAAGGTTCGTGGGTAGTTGTAAGTAGGGTTATAAGTACCCTAAGTAAGGTTACAAGTATAGTTCCCCTACACACCCCAATTCTGACCACCCATGAACCTCCAGGTAGCCCCAAACCCTAAACCCCCTACTTGAGGGTAGTTCCGGCACCATGAGTCGAAGAAGGTTTAGGGTTTGGGGTTGAGGGTTTCGGGTTTAGGATTTGTAGTTCGCAGTGGCACTGAGTTCCGGGTTCAAAGGGGTTTAGGGTTTAGGCTTTAGGCTTTAGCGAACAGTCTGATGCTTCTTCCTCGTCGTTGTCATCATCCTTTCGCATTTCCGGCCGAAAGTTGCCAGGCTCAGGTTGCTCCGTAACCAAATGATTTCTTAAACAGTGCTGTCACTGCACCTAAACCCTAAACCCTAAACAACACCTCGGAAACCCAAGGATGTGAGCGAGAGTTTGAATTGGCAGATTGATGCCTCAAGTTGCTGACCTCGTGGGCAGATTGCAAGGAACGGGTACCATGAGCGATGATAATACAGTTATCTAACCTTATTTCCAACCCACCATAGCAGTATGCTGAAGCCTAAGAAAGTACCAGTATGATAGGCGTCTCTCAAATTGAAATGGCTTATTACTGCTTATAACGGTGTTCATGGTTTCAGAGGGGTTTCACATGGTTCTGCAGGTGTTCATGTATAACAGTGTTTATGGTTTCAGAAGGTCTTACAGGTGTTTATGATGGTTCAAAATGGTTTAGAGGTGTTGACAACCCTAAACCCTAAACCCTAAACCCTAAACCCTAAACCCTAAACCCTAAACCCTAAACCCTAAACCCTAAACCCTAAACCCTAAACCCTAAACCCTAACTTGTCAGCAAGCAGGCGATGGCTCCTGCGCCGAGCACTGGTATCGGGGCCATCATGTCCATCTCAGGCCTTGGGGGGGTCCTAGGCAAAAAAAGTGTTTAGGGTTTAGGGTTTAGGGTTTAGGGGTATTCCCTAAACCCGCCGAGACGCCCAGAAACCACCAACAACCGTCAGAAACGCCTAGAAACCATTATAAGCCGCAAGAAAAACCTATGACCCCTATCATAAACCATTGCAAGCCCCTCCAACCCTGCTAATACGAGAGCCGCAATGATTGCTAAGATGTTCTTCTATAACCTTCTGTAGAACTAGATCAGTTCATAAACTGCTCCAAATACCCAAGTTTGATAAAACTGCCCAAACTACCCAGGGACCCAGATTCCAATTCAACAGGCTCCTTTCTACCCCTAACACCTAAACCCAAAAAAAAAAAAACACCCTAAACCCTAAACCCTAAACTCTAAACCCTACACCCGAAACCCGAAACCCGAAACCCTACACCCTTCCTTCAAAAAGTCCATTGCAGCTCCGGGCTTGCAAAGCCCGCAAACTCCTATAGTAGAAGCCAAAAAGTTGGCGTGGTTTAGGGTTTGGGGTTTCGGGTTTGGGTTTAGGGTTTAGGGTTTAGGGTTTAGGGTTTAGGGTTAAGGGTTAAGGGTTAAGGGTTTAGGGAGTTGGAAACTCAATAGCCTCAATCCCCAAGAGTAAAGTGTAGGGAATCCCATCACTATGTTTCCTTACAAAGGTGTCCAACTTTTTTGGGGTTTGCTGTAATCGTCAAGTCACTCTCAGATCATCCTTTTCTTAGTCTTGAATCATATTGGGTTTAGGGTTTAGGGTTTTGGGATCCTCATGACAATTTTCAGGAATATCCCCTAAGTAAGGGATATGTCGCTCTGGCGGTGAGTTCGCCTGCTTGATGAGGCCTTCCCTAAACCCTAGATCCCAAGCCATTGCAGCAACCCTAAGCCCTCTAAACCCCCCTAAACCACCCTAGAGCGATGGGCGGCGGGTGGCGAAACAAAACCCTAAACCCCAAACATTGGGCTCTAAACCTCACACCCTAAACCCTGAACCCTAAACCCTAAACGACCCCAAGCTCTGAGAAGCTCAGCCACGCGAGGATTCGCAACTTTGGATAAGCTTGGGATTGGCGGAGCTGCAGCCCGAGAATGACCCATAGCCCCTAGAAGGGGCCCGTTTACGCAGGGTTGAGGGTTTAGGGTTTAGGGTTTAGGGTTGTTTAGGGTTTTTGGGTTCAGGGTTCAGAGTTTTTTAGGGTTGTTTACCCAGAGTAGGCCCTTATTCCCTGTTTTTTCTAGGGTTTAAGTTCCTGGGTTACTCTTGGTGTAGCCTTTTACGGGCACGAATATCCTACTTACTTAGGGTTTGCTTTGAGAGAGAGAGAGAGGCAGACCGACAGAGCAAGAGAGAGAGACAGAGAGAGGGTGCGATTGGAGCACAAGGAGGTTCGGGTTTAGGGTTTAGGGTTTAGGGTTTAGGGTTTAGGGTTTAGGGTTTAGGGTTTAGGGTTTACGGGTACCTTCCTCCAGTCAGCGGAAGAAGAGAGAGGGAGCTTTAGGGCTTATAGGGCGAGCATGGAGAAGGCTCCAATTCGCTGCTTGAACATGACTTCTGTCATGCTACGGCTGCAGCACGCGCATGTTGAGGAGCCCAAACGCACTAGCAATCTAGGGGTCGGAATAACTACTAGTAGATCCCCTTATGGCCCCCCTTTATAGCTCTACTAGCATAAACCCCCCAAAAACCCTGTTCTCGACCCTTTTTTAATTCGGCGTCCTTGCCATTTTGTTTCTTTAGGACGCAGGGCTCTGGCTTCATGCCCCTCCCTCTACACTCCTCCCTGTTCAGGGTTTAGGGTTTATAGGGTTTATAAGGGTTTATAAGGTTTATAGGGTTTATAGGGTTTATAGGGTTTAGGGTTTAGGGAGATTCCCCGTTCAACCCCACTCACTGAGATCGAGCTACAGATGCGCTACAGCGGCGCCATTCCAAAGAGGCGGGCGGCAGCTGCTGGTTCTGAAGCAGCAGATAGGCTTTGGGTTGGTTGGACTTTACCAGGGTTTAGGGTTTAGGGTTTAACTAGGGTTTAGGGTTTAGGGGACCTTAGAAATCCCTTAACAATAGTTTGAAAGGTGTGTGGGGGGGGGGGGGGGGGGGGGGGGGCGGGGGGGGTGGATTTTCTCAGGACGTCCTACAACAGCCCCCGAACCTTCAACTCAGCCCTACGTGCAAGGCCGCCTCCAAAGATCCAGAAACTTGACTTGGAGGTTCACAGAACAAAGGCCCTCCTGAACCCAAACCCCAAATCCTAAACCCTAAACCCCAAACCCCAAACCCTAAACCCTAAACCCTAAGGCAAAACAAATCCCTAAGCCCGTGAGGTATGGGGAAGCGCAGGGTCGACATATTGGCCCCTTCGTGGCGAGCTCGGGGAGCTTTGCCAGGTTTGGGGGGGTTTTGGGTCTAGGGTTTGGGGTTTAGGGTTTAGGGTTTGGGGTTTAGGGTTTGGGGTTTAGGGTTTGGGGTTTAGGGTTTGGGGTTTAGGGTTTGGGCTTTAGGGTTTAGGGTTTGGGGTTTAGGGTTTGGGGTTTGGGGTGTTGCTCATCTCCGGGGGTTGGTTTCGGAATTCGGTTTCAGGTGTGCTCTGGGCCCTGCCCGCTAGATCGTGAAAAACCGTATGCAAGCCCATTGTAAATTCGAGGTTTTTTATAGGGTTTCGGGTTTAGGGTTGTTTGGGGTTTAGGGTTTGGTGTTAGGGTGTAGGGTTCGGTGCCCTGAATCGGCAAGACGACGCTTCGCAGGTGGGCCCTGAGACCAACAAACCAGGAATCCCAAACCTTAAACCCTAAACCCCGCATCGCTGTGGCTAGTCGGGTGGCGAAAAGCCCTAAACCCTAAACCCTAAACCCTAAACCCTAAACCCTAAACCCTAAACCCTAAACCCCAAGGCCCGAAAGTTGGAGCTTGTGGGCTCCGTGCCTTGAGGTGCCCAGCGCCTTTAAAACGAAACCCACGCAAAGACACTGAGCTTTGTAGACCCTAAACCAAGGAACGCACAAAGACACCCCTAAACCCTAAACCCTAAACCCTAAACCCTAAACCCTAAACCCTAAACCCTAAACCCTAAACCCTAAACCCGGCCTTGCCATAACAAAACCAAACCCTCAAACCCCGGAAACCCTTATATTCAGCTCTTCGAATCAGCAACCCTGAACCCTAAACCCTACCACCAGCCCTATCAACCCTAAAAAGCCCTGAGCAAAATGCTACGAAACCCTATATGTCTCCTATAAAACCCTCTACAAAGCCTATAAAATAGCTACAAGCCCTGTCAGCCCCCAAAATCCCATTAGAAAAACCCTAGAAACCCCAACAACAGGGACTCAGGGTTTACGAGCCAACAAGTCCCTTCTTCTCTCCGAACAGGTGAAGAGAGCCAGCAAGTACATCCTTTACCCTAAAGTCGATAGAGCCTAAACCCTAAACCCTAAGCCCTAAGCCCTAAACCCTAAACCCTAAACCCTAAACCCTCAACTAAACCCTCATATAATTAAACCGCAAGCATCACCATGAATGCCCCCCCCCAAGTTGAGCCACATTGCGCCCGGCAGGGGAATAGGGGTGAGGGCCCCGCATGGCGCCCTAAGCCAGAAATTTTTAAACCTTTTAGGGTTTAGGGGTTTAGGGGTTTAGGGGTTTAGGGGTTTAGGGGTTTAGGGGTTTAGGGGTTTAGGGGTTTAGGGGTTTAGGGTTTAGGGTTTAGGGTAAACCTTACAGCCTTAGACCCTAAGCCCTCA